TGCAACATTAAAATCTGACCGTGCGGAAATCGGCATTGGTCTATTATTTAATGGGCTGTCTGTTATTGAATATTTTAAAATAATTTCTTAACGTTTGAAATTTTGTTAGTGTGATTTAAAATAGTAAAACACGTAATATCACTAAGCGTAATAACACATTTATGTTGCGTTGCGCACAGAGTGTAGGAACTATTGATGGTGTTTCTAGTCGGATCATATATAGCGGTACGCCGCACGCTTGTAAACATCCGCTGGAGTTCACGCACATATTAAAAAACATTAGAAACATTTCTATGAATGAATCTCTTAACAAAGACTATCAGCCAATCACTGTGTGCATAGTTAATAAGCATGATGACATCACCATAGCAACGAGGTAAACCCCACCCCCTTACTCTGAGCTTAAGACTTCTCTCTGTTCCTCAGTACAAGTTTGTCTCAGCAGCTTTGTGAATAGGGTTTAAGAGAAACTCTTTAACTTTTACTGCTATTTAGGAGAACTCTTAGTGATAAGATCAAATGTTTTGTGAATATGAGCCCTGGTTGATCTTTGGTGACAAAGTTATGGCTAAGAAACCCACTACAGTCAGCGAAGAGTGGACCGAGATCACAGCAGTGCAGTATATAATATATATAATATTGCATATGACAGCATTTTCTGTGTTTATATGTGGCTTTACAAGAACTGTTGTTGCCTAGTAAATCAAGTTTGCATTTAAAGCAGCACTATGTAACTTTTCTGTGTTCAAAATTTGCAAAATGTATGTAATGAGCGAGTACATCATGAATTAATCTTCCAAACCGCGTTTTTGTCTTATTCTGAATTATAATAAATACTTATATTCGGACTATTGTAGCCTGGTCACCGCGGCGGAGTAACACATACCCGCGTGAATCGCCATAGACATACACTTAGAGAAGTAGATCCGGTTGGAATGTTCTTCCGCGGGATGTGTGCAGTTCTGTTTATTAACCGCTAGAGCGCCAAAAGTTACACAGTGCTGCTTTAAAGCAAGATCAGATCATCTGCATTTGATTTTACTATTAATCATCTGACTCAAAAGGAAACAGGATATGTTTTTGCAACAAGGTATACAAGCACAGGATATGTGGTTAAAGTGAGAAGTTATTTAAGCTCAAATTAACTTCTGCTGAAACGGATGTTTCCAAAGAAGTGTTGGTAAACAAGAAAGATCAATTTAATGCACAAGACTCTCATTATAATAGTGAGATTTCATATTTTGACGGTGACATCATTTCCTCTTTAATTGCTTCAGGATGTTTCAGGATGATAAGTTGTTCATATCACTCCACTCTCATTTATTGTGATTTATTTCCATTAAATCTCCAGATCATACCAAGTTTGTGGGAAGCTTTAAAAGCAAGCAGGACTGATTGAAGTGATCTATCCAGAGGAAAACTGATCATCCAAAGCCCAATCAAGCCAAGAGACGTCCCTAAATATGATCTACTGTACCATGACATCTAGCATTGAGCTTGACCCATGCTTATAAATGCTCTGATGTAGACTTTCCAGTGGAAACATCAACAATCTGATGCACTTCTTTAGAAACTTTTGTATGCTTACTGATTTTACACTGACTTCTAGACGTTTAATAACACTGATGGTGCCACTCAACCATTTGTACTTCCATAAAACAATGACTAACTAGACTTTAACTGCTGTCAAATGTGTTTAAAGGAATAGTTCAGCCAGAAATGAAAATGTGCCGATTCCTGACCTTAAGTATCGGATTCTGGAATTGGAATTGATTCTCGATATCGGAAAGGTGTATTTTTACTAGTAAAAATTTATTTTTGATGCATATTAATGGAGATGGTGTTTTCTGCACATTTAAATGAGAATTTAATGCGCAGAAGCTTAAATAGTCTGAAAATAATGTGGAAATGCAAAAAATCCTAATGGTTCTAAATCAGCACTCGTCGTTTTATGTGAAATATATTTTCTAATTTGTGACCCTGGAGTCGCTGGGGTATATTTGTAGCAATAGCCAACAATACATTGTATGGGTCAAAATTATACATTTTTCTTTTATGCCAAAAATCATTAGGATATTAAGTAAAGATCATGTTCCATGGAGCTATTTTGAATGTTTCCTACCGTAAATATATCAAAACTTAATTTTTGATTAGTAATATGCATTGCTAAGAACTTAATTTGGACAACTTTAAAGATGATTTTCTCAATATTTAGATTTTTTTGCACCCTCAGATTCCAGATTTTCACATAGTTGTATCTCAGCCAAATATTGTCCTAAAAAAAAAAAAAAAAATTGACCTTGACTGGTTTTGTGGTCCAGGGTCACATTTTTGTCTTATGATTTTTGGGTGAAAAATATCCTTTT